GCGTGGGTGAGTGGGTGGGTAGATGGGTGAGTGGATAGGTGAGTGGATAGGTGAGTGGGTGGGTGAGTGGGTGGGTGAGTGGGTAGGTGAGTGAGTGGGTGAGTAAGTGGGTGGGTGAGTGGGTGGGTAGGTGGATGGGTGGATAGATTGGGTGGGTAGGTGGGTGGGTAGATGGGTGAGTGGGTGGGTGAGTGGGTGGGTAGGTGAGTGGATAGGTGGGTGGGTAGGTGGGTGGGTAGGTGGGTGGGTAGGTGGGTGAGTGGGTAGGTGAGTGGGTGGGTAGGTGAGGGGGTGGGTAGGTGGGTGAGTGGATAGGTGGGCGGGCGAGTGGGTGGGTGAGGTGAGTGTGGGGTGGGTAGGTGGGTGTGTGGATAGATTGGGTGGGTAGTTGGGTGGGTAGATAGGTGAGTGGGTGGCTAGGTGCGTGAGTGGGTGGGTAGGTGAGTGCGTGGGTGAGTGGGTGGGTAGGTGAGTGGGTGAGTGAGTGGGTAGGTGGGTGGGTGAGTGGGTGGGAAGGTGGGTGAGTGGGTGGGTAGGTGAGTGAGTGGGTGAGTGGCTGGGAAGGTGGGTGAGTGGATAGGTGGGTGGGTGAGTGGGTGGGTGAGTGAGTGGGTGAGTAGGTGGGTGGGTGAGTGGGTGGGTAGGTGGGTGTGTGGATAGATTGGGTGGGTAGGTGGGTGGGTAGATGGGTGAGTGGGTGGCTAGGTGCGTGAGTGGGTGGGTAGGTGAGTGCGTGGGTGAGTGGGTGAGTGGGTGGGTAGGTGAGTGAGTGGGTGAGTGAGTGGGTAGGTGGGTGAGTGGGTGGGAAGGTGGGTGAGTGGGTGGGTAGGTGAGTGAGTGGGTGAGTGGGTGAGTAGCTGGGAAGGTGGGTGAGTGGATAGGTGGGTGGGTGAGTGGGTGGGTGAGTGAGTGGGTGAGTAGGTGGTGGGTGAGTGGGTGGGTAGGTGGGTGTGTGGATAGATTGGGTTGGGTAGGTGGGTGGGTAGATGGGTGAGTGGGTGGCTAGGTGGGTGAGTGGGTGGGTAGGTGAGTGCGTGGGTGAGTGGGTGGGTAGGTGAGTGAGTGGGTGAGTGGGTGAGTGAGTGGTAGGTGGGTGAGTGGGTGGGAAGGTGGGTGAGTGGGTGGGTAGGTGAGTGAGTGGGTGAGTGGGTGAGTGGCTGGGAAGGTGGGTGAGTGGATAGGTGGGTAGGTGGGTGAGTGGGTGGCTAGGTGGGTGAATGGGTAGGTGGGTGGGTGTGTGAGTGGGTAGGTGGGTGAGTGGATAGGTGAGTGGGTGGGTGAGTAGGTGGATGGGTAGATAGGAGATTGGGTGGGTGAGTGGGTGGATAGGTGGGTGAGTGGGTGGGTAGGTGAGTGAGTGGGTGGGTGAGTGGGTGAGTGGGTAGGTGGGTGAGTGGGTGGGGTGGGTGGGTGTGTGGCTTAGCAGTTTAAACGCCATTGAATAAACACGCAAATAAGTACGTTTTTTTACTTTATAAATTAAATGTTGTTTTGACTTTCGCAACTGCAGGAATTCAAATTCTTTGGGTCTTTCGGTAAAGCCACGTGTATATATAAAAAATAATAAAAATATCACGTTTCGATCGCAACACAAGCAATCGTCATGTTACTTTTCTATCTCCGTGGCTTTAACATAAATAGTTCAACGTTAATATGTTGTTTGCCTTACCATTGCTGTCGCGACGGAGTCGATCCGATTATCTCTCCCACCAAAATAAGCACAACGCAATCGCTCCCGTCGTCGTCGTTATTATTGTTGCTTAAACTTTTATATCTTTTATTTTGTGAGGAAAAGTAAAACAAGTAAACCCGTAAAAACAACGTTTTTCACTCTAAATCCTTTATATGCGTGGCGGCTGGAGTCCTCTCGTCCTCTGGCTTGAGATGGCTGCCACCTATGGGTCAGATGATTGTCTGCCAGTATTAAGCAATTGGTAATTAAATATTTAATTTGGTTTCCCTAAACAGTGTAAAATTTTGGATTTTTTTTTTCACAAAAATTAATTGTCACACACAACGAGTCTGTGGAAAATGTCAGCTCGATTGGATCACGGGAAGTGGGTTAAAAAACGAGCGAAAGATTTGCACGGTCCTAAGCAAGCAAGCGAACTTAATATAAAGGATTTAAAAATATATTCGCCTGTGGAGGACGCGGGGATCGATCCCGCGACCTTTGGCATGCGAAGCGAGGGCGCTACCAACTGCGCTACTCCGCCACGGCCTGTGGAGGGGTTACGCTCTGGGCTCTTATACTGTGACGTTCAGCCAAAGCGATGAATGAGTTATATTTGAATAAATGTAAAATAAATTTTTTTGCCTAAAAAGTGTAAAATTTTGGGAATTTTTTTTCACGAACATTAATTGTCTGGCAGAACGAGTCTGTGTGGAAAATGTCAGCTCGATTGGATCACGGGAAGTGGGTTAAAAAACGACCGAAAGATTTGCACGGTCATAAGCAAGCAAGTGCACTTAATATAAAGGATTTAAAAACAGCAAAATTCTCCTCACCGCGTGCCGCAAGCCACGCGCGGGGTTTCCTGCCCCCACTCACAGGGGCGGGGCTTGGGGGGTGACGTCACTCATCTCGGTAGCACAGCCAATGGGAGTGAGGCTACCGGGGTGGAGGGGGCGGGGCTTGGGGGGTGACGTCACTCATCTCGGTAGCACAGCCAATGGGAGTGAGGCTACCGGGGTGGAGGGGGCGGGGCTTGGGGGTGACGTCACTCATCTCGGTAGCACAGCCAATGGGAGTGAGGCTACCGGGTGGAGGGGGCGGGGCTTGGGGGGTGACGTCACTCATCTCGGTAGCACAGCCAATGGGAGTGAGGCTACCGGGGTGGAGGGGGCGGGGCTTGGGAGGTGACGTCACTCATCTCGGTAGCACAGCCAATGGGAGTGATGGTGGTGGTGGGTGTGGTGATGGGGGTGGTGGTGGTTGGGGGGGCTCATACCCCCACCTCTCCCCCCCCTCCCGATGCCATTTGGTTCGTTCCATGTGCAGCAGGTTTAGAACTCGGCCTGTTGGCTCAGCAGCGAGAACTCGACAACATCAACAACATCGCCACCATCACCTCCTCCACCATCACCACATCACCATCACCACCTCCACCATCACCACCTTCACCATCATCACCTCCACCATCACCACCACCATCACCTCCACCATCACCACCTCCATCACCACCACCATCACCTCCACCATCACCTCCACCATCATCACCTCCACCATCACCACCATCATCACCTCCACCATCATCACCTCCACCATCACCACCACCACCATCACCACCATCACCTCCTCCACCATCACCACATCCACCATCTCCACCATCACCACCTTCACCATCATCACCTCCACCATCACCACCACCATCACCTCCACCATCACCACCTCCATCACCTCCACCACCACCATCATCACCACCACCATCACCTCCACCATCACCACCACCATCACCTCCACCATCACCACCACCATCACCTCCACCATCACCACCTCCACCATCATCACCACCACCATCATCATCACCACCACCATCACCACCTCCACCATCACCTCCACCATCACCACCACCATCATCAACATCATCAACGACATCACCGACATCAATCGCAATCATCAACATCGCCACCATCACCTTCACCATCATCACCACCATCATCAACTTCGCCACCATCACCACCATCATCACCACCATCACCTTCACCATCATCACCACCATCATCGCCGTCATCACCATCATCATCACCTCCACCATTATCATCATCATCACCGACATTATCACCACCATCACCACCCACCATCAACACCCCCCCACCACCACAACCACCGTGCCCCCCCCCACCACCACAACCACCGTGCCCCCCCCACCACCACAACCACCGTGCCCCCCCCACCACAATCACCGTGCACCCCCCCACCACCACAACCACCGTGCCCCCCCCCACCACCACAACCACCGTGCCCCCCCCCCACCACAACCACCGTGCCCCCCCCACAACAACAACCGTGCCCCCCCCACAACAACAACCACCGTGCCCCCCACCACCACGTGCCCCCCCCACCACCACAACCACCGTGCCCCCCACCACCACAACCACCGTGCCCCCCCCACAACAACAACCGTGCCCCCCCACCACAACAACCACCGTGCCCCCCCCACCACAACCACGTGCCCCCCCCCACCACAACCACCGTGCCCCCCCCCACCACAACCACCGTGCCCCCCACCACCACAACCACCGTGCCCCCCCCCCACCACAACCACCGTGCACCCCCCCCACCACAATCACCGTGCACCCCCCACCACCACAACCACCGTGCCCCCCCCACCACCACAACCACCGTGCCCCCCCCCCACCACAACCACCGTGCCCCCCCCACCACAACCACCGTGCCCCCCCCCCACCACAACCACCGTGCACCCCCCCCCCACCACAATCACCGTGCCCCCCCACCACAACAACCACGTGCCCCCCCCCACCACAATCACCGTGCCCCCCCCCACCACAACCACCGTGCCCCCCCCACCACAACCACCGTGCCCCCCCCCACCACCACAACCACCGTGCCCCCCCCCACCACAACCACCGTGCCCCCCCCACCACAACCACCGTGCCCCGCCCACAACAACAACCACCGTGCCCCCCCACAACAACACCGTGCCCCCCCCACAACAACAACCACCGTGCCCCCCACCACCACAACCACCGTGCCCCCCCCACCACAACCACCGTGCCCCCCCCCACCACAACAACCACCGTGCCCCCCCCCCCCACCACAACCACGTGCCCCCCCCCACCACGACCACCGTGCCCCCCACCACCACAACCACCGTGCCCCCCCCCCCACCACAACCACCGTGCCCCCCCCCCCCACCACAACCACCGTGCCCCCCACCACCACAACCACGTGCCCCCCCCCACTACAACCACCGTGCCCCCCACCACCACAACCACCATGCCCCCCCCCACCACAACCACCGTGCCCCCCACCACCACAACCACGTGCCCCCCCAACTCACCTGGCATTAGCCGAGTGCCAGTCGAGGCGCATAGCAGAGCCAGAAGAAGCGGTGCTGCTGATGATGCTTCTGCTGCTGCTGATGCTTCTGCTGCTTCTGCTGCTGATGATGCTGATGGTGCTGCTGATGCTGCTGCTGATTATTTTGCTGCTGCTGATATTGCTCCAGCTGATCATATTGTACCAGCTGATGATGTTGCTGCTGATGATATTGCACCAGCTGATGATGTTGCTGCTGATGATATTGCACCAGCTGATGATGATGATACTGCACCAGCTGATGATGTTGCTGATGATATTGCACCAGCTGATGATGATGATACTGCACCAGCTGATGATGATACTGCACCAGCTGATGATGATGATACTGCACCAGCTAATGATGTTGCTGCTGATGATTTTGCTGCTGATGATGATGTTGCTGCTACTGATTACGATGTTGTTGCTGCTGATTAATGGTTATGCATGCCAATGATGATGGTGCTTCTGCTGATGGTGCTTCTGATGATGATGATGATGATGTTCCTGCTAATAATGGTGATTCTAATGATGATGATGCTGATGATTATTTTGCTGCTGATGATGATTATGCTGCTGATGATTATTTTGCTGCTGCTGATGATTTTGCTGCTGATGATTATTTTGCTGCTGATGATTATTTTGCTCCTGATGATGATGGTGCTGCTGCTGATTAACTTGCTGCATCTGCTGCTGATGAAATTGCACCAGCTGATGATGTTGCTGCTGATTAAATTGCTGCATCTGCTGCTGATGAAATTGCACCAGCTGATGATGTTGCTGCTGCTGCTGATTTTGCTGCTGATGATTATTATGTTGCTGATTATTATGATGGTTCTGCATGCTGCTGATGCTGCTGCTGATGAAGAATTCCTCACTCAAGAGCGCGCCACGTGATTGGTCCACGTGGCACCCAGCAACCTCCAACCATCGCCTCCTCTGATTGGACGGTGCCCCCGAGCATCGTGCGCTCCTATTGGCTCAGCCGCGCAGGAAACGTCATAGCCGATTCGATTCCTAATTATAGCTCGATACGATTCAGCCGCTGTTCAACAGAGGGCGGTGGGAATCGATGATCGATTCTATGAATCGTTTGTTGTTGGCTTCTCAGAATGGAGAGAATCGATTGAATCGAATCGAAACTGCGGAATCGCGTTTGGATCGCCCCTCGCGAGCTACAAACTGAGGTAACGATTCTCGTCTCTAAGGCGTCTGTGACATCCTTTGGCAGCATTTTAACTCCCGTCTCCATGGTTTCTCACCCCCCACAGTTATAATACTTTGGTTCTAATGGGTTTATCTTCTTGGTTCTTTCGGTAAAGTCACGTAGAAGGGAAGTAATAAAATAATAAATATTTTTATTATTTTATTAAAATAATAATTATTTTTATTATTTTATTACTTCCCTTCTACGTGACTTTACCAAAAGAACCAAGAAGATGAATCCCTGCTGCAGTCACGAAAGCTTTAAATCGAAATATAATGGGTTTGTTGTGCCCCGTATTGTAATAGGGTAACGAAGTGATGACGTCACCTCTTGTAAACGTCTCTCATAATTAACATAATTTATGGGCGCGTGACGTCAGGCTGCAACCGTCACCGCTAATTAACATAATTTATGCAGCGGAGGCAATGGCCTCAGCCAATGGGAAGCCGCCGTGGCGGTGACGTCACCACTATTGACGTCGCCGGAAGAGACTGGCGCTTTAAATGTCCGCGTTAAACTTCGAAACGCACCAAATTATTATTATTTAAGTTTCTTTTTTTGCCTTCTTCTTCTTCCTCCTCCTTCTCCTTTCGGTATTTTCAGTTTTTATCCTTCTTGTGAAAACCGTCGTGCTTTTTTGCGAAGAGAGGTGCGTTGTTTTTAGTTGTTGTTGTTGTGAACGCGTTCTGCCTCTCCCGGGGTTCAAGTCGCGACGACGCCTCGCGCCCTCGTGGTTTAGCATCGTCCATTGTTATTATTTTATTTGTATTAAAATAATGAAAATAAAATAAGAATAAATGAAAAATTGATTTAGTTTAATGCATTATTATTTTATTTGTATTAAAATAATGAAAATAAAATAAGAATAAATGAAAATTTGATTTAGTTTAATGCATTATTATTTATTTTTATTAAAATAATGAAAATAAAATAGATTAAATGAAAATTTGATTTAGTTTAATGCATTATTATTTTATTTGTATTAAAATAATGAAAATAAAATAAGAATAAATGAAAATTTGATTTAGTTTAATGCATTATTATTTTATTTTTATTAAAATAATGAAAATAAAATAAGATTAAATGAAAATTTGATTTAGTTTAATGCATTATTATTTAATTTTTATTAAAATAATGAAAATTAAATAAGAATAAAGGAAAATTTGATTTAGTTTAATGCATTATTATTTTATTTTATTAAAATAATGAAAATAAAATAAGATTAAATGAAAATTTGATTTAGTTTAATGCATTATTATTTAATTTTTATTAAAATAATGAAAATTAAATAAGAATAAATGAAAATTTTATTTAGTTTAATGCATTATTATTTTATTTTTATTAAAATAATGAAAATAAAATAAGATTAAATGAAAATTTGATTTAGTTTAATGCATTATTATTAATTTTTATTAAAATAATGAAAATTAAATAAGAATAAATGAAAATGTTATTTAGTTTAATGCTTTATTATTTTATTTGTATTCAAATAATGAAAATAAAATAAGAATAAATGAAAATTTGATTTAGTTTAATGCATTATTATTTTATTTTTTATTAAAATAATGAAAATAAAATAAGAATAAATGAAATTTGATTTAGTTTAATGCATTATTATTTTATTTGTATTAAAATAATGAAAATAAAATAAGAATAAATGAAAATTTGATTTAGTTTAATGCATTATTATTTTATTCTTATTAAAATAATGAAAATAAAATAAGATTAAATGAAAATTTGATTTAGTTTAATGCATTATTATTTAATTTTTATTAAAATAATGAAAATTAAATAAGAAATGAAAATGTGATTTAGTTTAATGCATTATTATTTTATTTTTATTAAAATAATGAAAATAAAATAAGATTAAATGAAAATTTGATTTAGTTTAATGCATTATTATTTAATTTTTATTAAAATAATGAAAATTAAATAAGAATAAATGAAAATTTTATTTAGTTTAATGCTTTATTATTTTATTTGTATTAAATAATGAAAATAAAATAAGAATAAATGAAAATTTTATTTAGTTTAATGCATTATTATTTTATTTTTTATTAAAATAATGAAAATTAAATAAGAATAAATGAAAATTTTATTTAGTTTAATGCATTATTATTTTATTTTTATTAAAATAATGAAAATTAAATAAGAATAAATAAAAATTTTATTTAGTTTAATGCTTTATTATTTTATTAGTATTAAAATAATGAAAATAAAATAAGAATAAATGAAAATTTGATTTAGTTTAATGCATTATTATTTTATTTGTATTAAAATAATGAAAATAAAATAAGAATAAATGAAAATTTGATTTAGTTTAATGCATTATTATTTTATTTTTATTAAAATAATGAAAATAAAATAATAAATGAAAATTGTATTTAGTTTAATGCTTTATTATTTTATTTTTATTAAAATAATGAAAATAAAATAAGAATAAATGAAAATTTTATTTAGTTTAATGCATTATTTTTTTTATTAAAATAATGAAAATAAAATAGAATAAATGAAAATTTTATTTATTTTAATGCATCATTATTTTATTTGTATTAAAATAATGAAAAAAATAAGAATAAATGAAAATTTGATTTATTTTCATGCATCATTATTTTATTTATTTTAAAATAATAAAAAAATAAAATAAGAATAAATGAAAATTAGATTCATGTTCATTTATTATTGTATTTTTATAATTTTTGTGATTAATTTATTTTCATTAATTATTATTTTATTTCCATAATTTTTGACCTACGTGACTTTACCGAAAAAACCTCAGAGTTTGCATTGATTTTGTTACCTGGGTTGTGATCTTAATATGGGATCAGTTATAGGAGTGACGATAACAATCGGCTTGTTAACGCAAGAAGACTTCTCACGTGTTGATTGCTCGACTTGATTCGTGGCGACTTGCGCTTGGCTCTGCCGCACTATTGTGGGATATCGACTCTGAGGCCCTGGCTCTGAGTTACCACCACAGATGGGATTATGCCCTAAATAGTTTTAACAGGGAGATTTTTAATTCTTGCTTCTTTCGGTAAAGTCATCACGTAGAAGGGAAATAATAGAATAATACAAATATAAAACAATACAATTCTCACCACGTTTCGACTGCAACACAAGCAATCGTCATCAGGTGTGACATCCACAGCAAGAACATTTTTAACAAGCGACTTGAATTGTTGCTGCTGTTCCCGGCCAAATATACAGCAGCAGCAGAAGACATCGTCAGGGTCGGGATCGAACCCACGACCAGGCGAGGGAGTTGACATCGTCACCATCATATTCTTGTTTCTTTCGGTAAAGTCACGTAGAAGGGAAATAATAAAAGTATAAAACAATAAAATTCTCACGAAAGCTTTAAATCAAAATTTGAGTCCATCTATGCTCGTAAAAGAATCACTGTCCGTGGTGCTGACGTTAAGAAAAAATTGCCACTTTTTTAAAATGTTCTTGCTGTGGTTTCACAACCTGATGATGATTGCTTGTGTTGCAATCGAAACGTCGTGAGAATTGTATTGTTTGATATTTTTATTATTTTATTATTTCCCTTCTACGTGATGACTTTACCGAAAGAGCCAAGAATATGAATCCCTGCAGTCACCAAAGCTTTAAATCGACACCGTCACCACGGGTTTGCTTCTCCTCTGCGCAGCGCCGACGCCGGCCACGAGGGTTGCGATGGATCTCCTGCGAGGCAGCACCAGGAGCCGCTGCTGCTGCCATCTGCTGCTGCTGCTGCTGCTGGGACACTGCACCTTGGCACAGCTGTGGGCAGTCGCCAGCCCCTCGTGGTGGTAACCGCGTTGAGCCTCACGAGTTTCTAAGTTCATTTATTTCCCTGAGCGACCTTCTTGCCTTCTCTATCTAGATTTTGCACGCCCCATGCGCTTGTTTGTGTTTTTGGTTCAACGCCTCGTAGCAGCATGGCTTCAAATACACAGCAGCAGGTGTCGGCATCGAACCCACGACCTCCCGCGCACCAGGCGAGGTAGTCAACATCCCCTGGCCACCGTGACCCCTGACCCCCCCCCCCCACGTCCCTCGCAGGTCGCTGGCGCTGTGGGCCCCAAACTTCGACCCCTCCGAGCACCGGCTGCTGTGCGTCGTGGCGCCGGGGCTGTCCCCCCGGCAGCGCAACATTTGCCTGCAGCGCCCGAACCACGTGGCGCACGTGGCCGAGGGCGCCCGGCTGGCGCTGGCCGAGTGTCGGCACCAGTTCCGGGCCAAGCGCTGGAACTGCTCCACGCCGGACTCCGCGTCTCCTCAGCAGGGTAAGGGGCCCGTCGCCTCTCGACTGACCTCTAGCCCAGACACGCCTCCTTCTAGAACCTTCTACCTCTAGCCCAGACACGCCTCCTTCTAGAACCTTCTACCTCTAGCCCAGACACGCCTCCTTCTAGAACCTTCTACCTCTAGCCCAGACACGCCTCCTTCTAGAACCTTCTACCTCTAGCCCAGACACGCCTCCTTCTAGAACCTTCTACCTCTAGCCCAGACACGCCTCCTTCTAGAACCTTCTACCTCTAGCCCAGACACGCCTCCTTCTAGAACCTTCTACCTCTAGCCCAGACACGCCTCCTTCTAGAACCTTCTACCTCTAGCCCAGACACGCCTCCTTCTAGAACCTTCTACCTCTAGCCCAGACACGCCTCCTTCTAGAACCTTCTACCTCTAGCCCAGACACGCCTCCTTCTAGAACCTTCTACCTCTAGCCCAGACACGCCTCCTTCTAGAACCTTCTACCTCTAGCCCAGACACGCCTCCTTCTAGAACCTTCTACCTCTAGCCCAGACACGCCTCCTTCTAGAACCTTCTACCTCTAGCCCAGACACGCCTCCTTCTAGAACCTTCTACCTCTAGCCCAGACACGCCTCCTTCTAGAACCTTCTACCTCTAGCCCAGACACGCCTCCTTCTAGAACCTTCTACCTCTAGCCCAGACACGCCTCCTTCTAGAACCTTCTACCTCTAGCCCAGACACGCCTCCTTCTAGTTGGTGATTGTGTGACGCGCCCACACTCGTGATGTACCCCTCCTGGCCGACAGGGGGCACCCTGTCACTGCACTAGTCAAGGATTCGCCGCGTCCTGTCTGCGTGCCGAAGCCGTATTGACGCAATATGACCCCAACAACAACCCTGTTGTAGATCTGAGCGGGTCTCTGTGGGAACAACAATCACATTGTCTCACCAACGCACGGTTAGTTCCAAATCCTTGCCGATTGTGATGCGGTGGTGGTTTTAAGGACGTGAAGTTTCTATTCGGCGATCTACGCCGGAGGAGAGGGAGGGGACAAAACCCCCCTCCACTATAGACAATTGCTGAGCTAGTTGTGTCGGGGATAATCGTGGCGGTCTCTGGGGTGGTAGGTGGGGGTGGGGGCCCAGGCACGCGCGAGGCGGCCTTCGTCTGGGCCGTGACGGCCGCGGGGCTGGTGCACGCGGTGGCGCGCGCCTGCCGCCACGGGGCGCTGCCGGGCAGCTGCTCCTGGGTGGTGCCCGGCTCCACGCAGCAGCAGCAGCTGCCGCGACACGGAGCCCGGCGGGGCGGCGCCGCCGACGACGTCGAGTACGGATACCGCTTCGCCAAGTGGTTCGTGGACACGCGGAGACAACCACGGGGAGGGGGGGGAGGGGGGGAGTCTGTTGCGAAGCTCGGACAGATGAACCAGCACAACACGGAGGCCGGCCGGCTGGTGAGTGGGCGGCTGGTGACTGGGCGGGTGGTGGGTGGTGAGTGGGCGGCTGGTAAGCGGGCGGTGAGTGGGCGGCTGGTGAGTGGGCGGTGAGTGGGCGGGTGGTGAGTGGGCGGTGAGTGGGTGGTGAGTGGGCGGGTGGTGAGTGGGTGGTGAGTGGGCGGGTGGTGAGTGGGCGGCTGGTGAGTGGTGAGTGGGCGGGTGGTGAGTGGGCGGTGAGTGGGTGGTGAGTGGGCGGGTGGTGAGTGGGCGGCTGGGCAGGTGGTGAGTGGGCGGCTGGTGAGTGGTGAGTGAGCGGCTGGTGAGTGGGCGGTGAGTGGGCGGTGAGTGGGTGGTGGTTGGGTTCAGCTCGTAGTTAACACACCACCTTGATGGCAACCCTTTTCGAAACACAACAAAAAATAGCCAGAATCACTCTTAATATTCATGTTTATAAAAGGCAGACACCAGGGTGAACGGGTGGACTATTATACGCCGAGGAGAGGCTCGCGGAGCCCCAGTGTGGTTTCAGGAAAGGGCGGTCCTGCACAGACGCCATATTTGCTGTCCGTCTGCTACATCAGAGGTGTAGGGAATTCCAACAAGACCTACATCTCTGCTTTATTGACCTGGTCAAGGCCTATGATACCATGAGTAGGCCTGGGCTCTGGGGTGTTCTTCGTGCTTTCGGAGTCCCGGACCCTCTGCTCACGGGCCTTCACGATGCTGAGCACGCCGGGTAAAGCTGCGTGGCCGGGAGTCGGAGCCACTCCCTGTTCGTCTTGGGGTGCGGCAGCGATGTCCTCTGGTTCCCACATTAAGTAAAAACGTTTTCGACCACGTAGGTCGTGAAGCCATCCATGACTGTGCCGACATCAGGTACAGATACAATGGGAGGCTGATCGATGCCCGGGTGCATTCAAGGGATGACTCCCTAATTGGTCGACCACGTTATGTATGCCGATGATCTGGTGATTGCTGCACAGAGGAGTTGGAAGCGCTGCTGCGGAACCTGGAGCTTGACACTAAGAGGTGAGGCCTTGCCATCAGCCCCACCAAAACTAAGCACCCGCCTGGGTATTTGTGCCATCAGACATTCCCATACCTGGGCAGTGTGCTATGACCAGCTCTGATGTGACAGCAGAGGTCTCAATCAATCGATTGGCAATATCTTGGCATTGACTGCACCATGCTGTGTGGAAGATACCTGGTCTGTTGCTCCACACAAAGCTTCGGGTCTTCTCAGCCATGGTCATGCCCTCCCTTCTCTACACTTGCAAAACGTGGACCCCCCCCCCCCCAATGTAACATCTTTGCCGCTTAGAAACATTCAGGCTGGCCTGCCTGCAATCCATCCATAATTCGATTATTTAATTTATTTTCTTTCTGCGTGCTCACACATTCCCGGAAGACCTGGACAAAGTTCCACCGTGAGCTCCTCCGGCAGGCAAGGCTGCGTTGGCTGGGTCATGTAGCCCGCATGCCCAGCCACCGCATGCCTACACAGCTTTTGTTCGGCCGGATAGAGGGTGCTTACATGCTGGAGAAGGGATGCAGTGACGTGGTACAGGAGGACACGGAGCTGAGTGGACTTGGCAATGACCGGTACCAGCGGTGTCAAGATCAGCCTCTGTGAAGGAGGCTCGTGAAGGCTGCTACTGGGCAGTTGGAGGCAGAGGGGCGACGCTCACAACAACGAGCGGAGCGCCGGGCGGCTACTATGCAGCCAGCTGGCACAGCAGGGGCCACACACAGGTGGTGCACTGGCCAATCATCTCAGTCAGTCGACCCGTGGCACCTGCTGGGTCTGTCCCGCGACGTCCTGCCAGTCGGGCATTCGACACTTCACGTGGCCTCAAGGTGCACACGGCCTGGCACGAGCGTCGTGGTGACGTCACCGCCACTTGCGGGCAAGTGGCTGTCGGCAGTGACGGTGGTGGTGTTGGTGGTGACAGTGATTGTGGTGTTGGTGGTGACAGTGATTGTGGTGTTGGTGGTGACAGTGATTGTGGTGTTGGTGGTGCTCCAGGCGGTGTACAATCTGGCGCACGTGGCCTGCAGGTGCCATGGTCTACACGGCACCTGCACGCTCAAGACCTGCTGGCAGCAGCTCGCAGACTTCCGCCAAGTCGGCGACCTGCTGAAGGTGAGTTCACGGTGCAGGTGATGAGACCGCACCCCAGAGGTCGCAATCGGGTACCCGATACCCGTACCCTACCCGATACCCGGCTACCCGTACCCGGCCGGGTACGGGTAGCCGTTTGCGACCCTGGTGCGGCCGGGTGCGGGTAGGTCGTGAGTCACTGGTGAGTCACCGTTTGTCACTCATTTCCCAACGTCTTGTCTCTTCTCACAATTCAAGTTCCTAGAATCAACCCACCCGCGCCTGCAACATGGCTTCATCCCAGAGGTCGCAATCGGGTACCCGATACCCGTACCCTACCCGTACCCGGCCAGGTACGGGTAGGGTACGGGTAGGGTACGGGTAGCCGTTTGCGACCCCGGTGCGGCCGGGTACGGAGTGGGTGGGTGGGTGGCAGTGACGAGGATGAAATCCACCGCAGGGTTACAGATGGGGGGGGGGGTGGGGGGGTGTCTAACAGTTAAGTGGGCTCCGCGCATTCACTCAGCACGTGGCAGATCATCATCATCATCATCATCCTCCTCATCCCTGTGACAATGACGATGACGACGACGACGACGATGGCGGCTGCAGGAAAAGTACGAGAGAAGTTCCGCCATGCGGCTGGTCAGCCACGACAGCAGCAGCGGTGGTCCCGGTGGCGGCGGTCGCGGTGAAGCCGGCGGCAGCGGCGGCGACGCCCGCCGGTCCCGCCGGCGGCTGGAGCCGGTGAACGAGTGGCTGGTGGCGCCGACGCCGAGCGACCTGGTGCACGTGAGCGCCAGCCCCGACTACTGCGAGGGGGGCGGCACGGCGGGGGGGGGTCCGTGCAACGTCACCTCGCGGGGGGGGCGGGGGGGGGGCTGCTCCCTCACGTGCTGCGACAGAGGATACGACACCTCGCAAGGTGTGCCCCCCCCCCCCTGCCAGCCCCCCAAATAAACTAGAACATCTTCTTGGTTCTTTCGGTAAAGTCATCACGTAGAATGGAAATAATAAAATAATAAAAATAAAACATTCAATTATTCTCACGACGCTTCGGCCACAACGCAAGCAGCCGTCCTCAGGTGAAGAACAGGTCTGTCGGAAAGACAGAGTCTGAATGAACACCACTAAGCTTGGCAGCGTATATTTAAGCTTAAATATTTAAGCTTAAATATACGCTGCCAAGCTTGGTGGTGTTCATTCAGACTCTGTCAGCTTAAATATACGCTGCCAAGCCTGGTGGTGTTTCATTCAGACGCTGTCTTTTCGACAGCCCTATTCTTCACCTGAGGACGGCTGCTTGCGTTGTGGCCGAAACGTCGTGAGAATAATTTTATTATGTTTTATTTTTATTATTTTATTATTTCCCTTTTATGTGACTTTACCGAAAGAACCAAGAAGATGAATCCCTGCAGTCACGAAAGCTTTACATCGAAATTAAACTAGAACAATCACAAGTGACGACCGCTTTTTACGAGTTGTTGGGGGCGTCCGTGGCGGTGCCCCTCGCAAAAGCGTTTGCGGCCTTCGGCCAGGAAAGTCTCAACTTGCGCGCATTCACGCGAGCGCCCGACGCTGCGTTTAGAAGTTTAGTCTTGAATTATTCAACGTAGAAAGAGAGATAAAGTTGTGCGCTTACCAATGTAACGGAGCGTGTTGGTCCCTGCGACTTGTTGATTGTGATGGCGTATGCAGGGAGAATGGCAAATTGTCATCGTCGTCGTTGCAAAACAAAAGTCGTGTCGGTGGGTGCCAAGTCGATTCTGGGAATCGACACGAATTGCCTCGTTCTGCAGATCGATTTCAACGTAGTCGAACGTCTGTCCCTGCGCCTCCGTCGTTCAAACGACGGGAGGTGCAGCGTTCATGACGGGTAAAGTTACGCGTTTATATGATGAATTTGTCATGGCCCACCGAGCTACGTAGATCTTGATCAGAGGCGGCCCAGCCGCAGACGATCGGTCGAAGCGGCTCGTCACGTACAAATGTACAGCAGCCAAACGCTCTGAGAAGCGCGACGTTTAAATTGAAGAACCGGAGGACCTGGAGAATAATCCACGCGTCCACGGAGAGACACGCAAACTCCAAATATACAGCAACAGCAGCAGCAGGTGTCGCCAGTTGGGATCGAACCCACGACCCCTGACCCCTGCACGTCAGGGCAGCCCCGAGCTCTCTCAGACTTCGCCTTTTATTCCCCCCTCGGCCGCCCCTCCCAGTCACGGTGGAGACGCAGTGCGGCTGCAAGGAGCAGCTCCAGCGGAACGTCCAGTGCAAGCTGTGCCCGTGGACGGTCGACCAGTTCTACTGCAAGTAGCCTGCAGCAAGTAGCCTGCAGCAAGTAGCCTGCAGCAAGTAGCCTGCAGCAAGTAGCCTGCAGCAAGTAGCCTGTGGCCTCGGCTGGAATCGGACTCCGTCTGGTTTCGGCCGGTACCCGTGGGCCCCACCGGCACCACGGCACCCACCGCACGTCGTCACCGCGAGCCGCTCTGCACCGTGCCGATGTACACCGGAGTACCGCACACTTTACACTACAGCACCCTTGTGTGTACACTGCAGTGTACACACTTTACACTACAGCACCCTTGTGTGTACACTGCAGTGTACACACTTTACACTACAGCACCCTTGTGTGTACACTGCAGTGTACACACTTTACACTACACCACCCTTGTGTGTACACTGCAGTGTACACACTTTACACTACAGCACCCTTGTGAGTACACTGCAGTGTACACACTTTACACTACACCACCCTCGTGTGTACACTGCAGTGTACACACTTTACACTACAGCACCCTTGTGTGTACACTGCAGTGTACACACTTTACACTACAGCACCCTTGTGAGTACACTGCAGTGTACACACTTTACACTACACCACCCTTGTGTGTACACTGCAGTGTACACACTTTACACTACACCACCCTCGTGTGTACACTGCAGTGTACACACTTTACACTACAGCACCCTTGTGTGTACACTGCAGTGTACACACTTTACACTACAGCACCCTTGTGTGTACACTGCAGTGTACACACTTTACACTACAGCACCCTTGTGTGTACACTGCAGTGTACACACTTTACACTACAGCACCCTTGTGTGTACACTGCAGTGTACACACTTTACACTACAGCACCCTTGTGTGTACACTGCAGTGTACACACTTTACACTACAGCACCCTTGTGTGTACACTGCAGTGTACACACTTTACACTACAGCACCCTTGTGAGTACACTGCAGTGTACACACTTTACACTACAGCACCCTTGTGTGTGCACTGCAGTGTACACACTTTACACTACAGCACCCTTGTGTGTACACTGCAGTGTACACACTTTACACTACAGCACCCTTGTGTGTACACTGCAGTGTACACACTTTACACTACACCACCCTCGTGTGTACACTGCAGTGTACACACTTTACACTACAGCACCCTTGTGTGTACACTGCAGTGTACACACTTTACACTACAGCACCCTTGTGTGTACACTGCAGTGTACACACTTTACACTACACCACCCTCGTGTGTACACTGCAGTGTACACACTTTACACTACACCACCCTCGTGTGTACACTGCAGTGTACACACTTTACACTACAGCACCCTTGTGTGTACACTGCAGTGTACACACTTTACACTACAGCACCCTTGTGAGTACACTGCAGTGTACACACTTTACACTGCACCACCCTTGTGAGTACACTGCAGTGTACACTGCAGTGTACACACTTTACACTACAGCACCCTCGTGTGTACACTGCAGTGTACACACTTTACACTACACCACCCTCGTGTGTACACTGCAGTGTACTCACTTTACACTACAGCACCCTTGTGAGTACACTGCAGTGTACACACTTTACACTACAGCACCCTTGTGAGTACACTGCAGTGTACACACTTTACACTACAGCACCCTTGTGAGTACACTGCAGTGTACACACTTTACACTACAGCACCCTTGTGTGTACACTGCAGTGTACTCACTTTACACTACAGCACCCTTGTGTGTACACTGCAGTGTACACACTTTACACTACAGCACCCTTGTGAGTACACTGCAGTGTACACACTTTACACTACAGCACCCTTGTGTGTACACTGCAGTGTACACACTTTACACTACAGCACCCTTGTGAGTACACTGCAGTGTACACACTTTACACTACAGCACCCTTGTGTGTACACTGCAGTGTACACACTTTACACTACAGCACCCTTGTGAGTACACTGCAGTGTACACACTTTACACTACAGCACCCTTGTGAGTACACTGCAGTGTACACACTTTACACTACAGCACCCTCGTGTGTACACTGGAGTACCACACACTTTACACTACAGCACCCTCGTGTGTACACTGCAGTGTACACACTTTACACTACAGCACCCTCGTGTGTACACTGCAGTGTACACACTTTACACTACACCACCCTCGTGTGTACACTGGAGTACCACACAATTTACACTACAGCACCCTCGTGTGTACACTGCAGTGTACACACTTTACACTACACCACCCTCGTGCGTGCACCATGAGCCACGTGGCACTACAGCCCCTTCACACCACGACATTTGTATCCAATCTTCTTTACCTATTAAAGTCGTTGTTGCCTCTCTCTGTGTGTGTGTCTGTGTGTGTCTGTGTGTGTGTGTCTGTGTGTGTGTGTCTGTGTGTGTGTCTGTGTGTGTGTGTCTGTGTGTGTCTGTGTGGATGGCCACGTGGAATGTTCGAACGCTCACTGCGGAGGAGAGGCTGCCACTCCTCTGTCGGGAGCTGGACCGGTACCGCCTGGATCTCTGTGGCATTCAGGAGGTCCGGTGGACCGGTTCTGGCTCCTGCCACCATGAGGGGTGGACAGTCCTCTACTCGGGGCAGGAGACTGCCAAACAACAGGGTGTGGCTCTTCTTCTGAACAAAAGAATGAAGGGGGCGTGGGAGCGTGGCGGTGAGGTGTGGGAAGCTGTAAGCCCCAGGATACTTTGGGCTCGCCTTCCCATCAACCAGAGGCGAGGAGTGGTGGTCGTGGTTACTTATGCCCCCACCGAAGACGAACATCCGTGGAGGGATGCAAGCAAAGCCGATGAGTCAGACGCTTTCTATGACCTCCTGTCACAGGTGCTGGCTAAAGTGGCCACTCGGGACAGAGTCATCTTGTTGGGTGACTTCAATGCCCGAGTCGGTCATGATGCTGACACCTGGTCTGGAGTGATTGGAAGGCATGGGCCAGATCAGCTCAATAATAACGGTAGGAGGCTGCTAGATTTTTGTGCAGCCCATGGGCTTGTAATTACCAACACGCTCTTCCGGCATCGGCGCATCCACACAACATCATGGATACATGCCGGGTCCAAGCAAGAACATCTGCTGGACTACATAGTGACGGACCAGCGGATGCGAACCCATGTCCTTGACACCAGGACCTACCGTGGAGCTGATCTGTCCTCTGACCATCGACTAGTCATCTGTAAGATGCGCCTGCCTTTCTTCCACTCCGGTGGTGGGTGTACACCCAGGATCCCATTCCAACCAAAAGTGGCCTGGTCTCAGTTAGCTGATGAAAGTTGCAAGCGAGAATTTCATCATCGCTTGCAGCTGGGGTTGGCATCGTCCCCCACTCCACCTGATGTCGAGGGTAAATGGGCGAGGTTTAGGACTGTGACTCATGCAGCTGCAATGGCTGCTTTGGGTACGCGGTCCAGACCTCCCCAGAAACCCTGGCTGACAGAGGAGGTGTTCAGGTTAATTGAGAAAAAGCGACAGGCCCACTCTCATCGCCTACAGCATCCCACGTCAGAGAATGAGGAGGTTTACCGCAGCCTTCGCTCGGAAGTTCGGAGAGCCGTAAGGCGTTGTAAGGATGGGTGGTGGTCGCGGGTTGCTGAGGAGATGGAGTCTGCCTCAGTGGCCCGTGATCACAAATCACTATTTAACTCCATCAAAAAAGTAACCTGCAGCGCCACACCTATTACCATCATTAGAGGAAAAAACGGTGATCCAATCTCCGACCCCCAGGAACAGGTTTGCAGATTTGCTGAGCATTTCTGTGAGGTCCTGGGGGAGGGAAATTCTCTCAGCCAGGAAAACATCATGGCACAAAGTGGGGATAACCCTGCTGAGGCTGCGGTGCCTCAAATATTGGAAGAGGTCACCCCCTGTGAGTGGCTGGCTGAGGTTCCAGCTGTTGAGGAAGTACTGAGGGCGATCCGGAGTCTGAGACCAGGGAAGGCACCGGGCAGAGATGATCTCCCAAGCGAAATGCTGAGGGAGGGTGGCGTTTGTGCACAGACTGCCCTATATGACATCATAACAACAGTCTGGACCACTGGACGGGTTCCGCAGGACTGGAAGGATGCCCTGGTGGTCCCCCTCTTTAAGAAGGGGGACCGCACAGACTGTAACAACTACAGGGGCATCTCACTCCTCAGTGTGCCGGGTAAGGTCCTGGCAAGGATTATTCAACATCGCCTTGCTAGGCACGCTGAGGAGGGGCTTGCGGAGCCCCAATGCGGTTTCAGGAAAGGGCGGTCCTGCACAGATGCCATATTTTCTGTCCGTCTGCTACAGCAGAGGTGTAGGGAATTCCAAAAAGACCTACATCTCTGCTTTATTGACCTGGTCAAGGCCTATGATACCATCAGTAGGACTGGACTCTGGGTTGTTCTTCGTGCTTTCGGAGTCCCTGACCCTCTGCTCACGATCATTAAGGACCTTCATGATGGTGAGCGGGCCCGGGTAAAACTACGTGGCCGGGAGTCGGAGCCTTTCCCTGTACACCTTGGGGTGCGACAGGGATGTCCTCTGGCTCCCACATTATTTAACATCTATTTTGACCGCGTAGTTCGTGAAGCCTTCAATAGCTGTACCGGGGGAATTTCCGTTTGGTACAGATATAATGGGAGGCTGATCGACGCCCGGGTGCGATCAAGGGATGGCTCCCTATTGGTCAACCACGTTATGTATGCCGATGATTTGGTAATAGCTGCTCATTCAGAAGAGGAGTTGGAGGCGCTGCTGCTGAGACTGGAGCGTGCCACTAAGAGGTGGGGCCTTACCATCAGCCCCACCAAAACCAAGCACCTGCCTGGGTATTTTGTACCATCGGACACTCCACCCCCACAACTCCCAATTGGTGATGGGGCAGTTGTGGAGAGAGTGGAGAGTTTCCCATACCTGGGCAGTGTGCTTATGACCGGCTCCAGTCTATCAGCAGAGGTCTCACTCCGAATCAGTCGAGCGGCAATATCTTTTCATCGGTTGCGTAACGCTGTGTGGAAGCTACCTGGTCTGTCGCTCCGCACGAAGCTTCAGGTCTTCTCGGCCACGGTCATTCCCTCCCTTCTCTACGCTTGCGAGACGTGGACCCCCCTGGTGGAGCATCTTCGCCGGTTGGAAACATTTAGGCTGGCCTGCCTACGATCCATCCTGGGTTTAACCAGGCTGGATTGTGTGAGGAGCTCACAAATCCTTGAAAGATCTGGGCAAAGTCCCATCAGTGAGCTCCTCCGGCAGGCAAGGCTGCGTTGGCTGGGTCATGTAGCCCGCATGCCCAGCCACCGCATGCCTAAACAGCTTTTGTTCGGCCGGATCGAGGGGGC